TCAGGCTCCATCTCTTTAGACCATCCTCCAAGAGCGTCCAAAATGAGGTTCACTTTGCAAGACCGTGTATCTTGGGTGTTGTTTTGTGAGCTCAAATCTAAGTGCTCCATACTTCTTCTTCTTCTCTTTGTCTTTCTTTCTTGGTTGTTAACCAATCATTTCCACCATGAGTACTTTCTTGTTATTGTGGTCGATGAAACGCGCGCCCACACAATTAGATTTTACATACATGTGGTCAGCATATACAGGTACATCCCAGTATGCTTCAGCGTCAGTTGATTTGTAGAGTGGTTTGGGTTTGACATCAGAAAACCATGGGGGTGTACTATCAGCCAGTTTGAGATCTCTTAGCATCTCAAAGAAAAACACTTTCAAAGCAGCGTTGTGTCTATCCAGGTACTTGGACTGTGCAAGAGATGGAAATCCAGCCAGTACATGTGCCAGACATTCGGAACCCTCGCCACACATTCTGCATGTGACATCATTCTTGTCTGTTGTTCCCGTCTTGTAGGCGGTGTAGACTCTTGTTGGGGTTAGCTGTTCGTACGATTCCATAATGCCTGCAATACAATGGGTAGGAGCGCTTACCCACTTGTTAAGCCATGCAAAGCAACCTTCGTGACTTAATTGATCATCCTGCCATCTTGCTTTCAGTAGACTTCCTTTGCCAATGTTGATCTTCAACCTTCCCCACGAGTTTTTCATTTACAGCTTTCTTAAGGTGTTTCTTGATGTGCATTCCCTTGATCTTTATCTCCGGTTCTTCTAATGGGCTACATGACGGTTCAGGGGTATTTTGGTTCAGAGTTGTTCTCAGTTCTTGGGCAAATTTCTTTGCATCACTAATGAGAGAGGAGCATCCCTTGTCTGCAGCTCTTTCTTGAAACTGTAGAACAGTTCTCATCATGGGGTCCGGACTCTCGTAAAGTTTGACAGCAGCCTTGACCTTGATCTTATTATCAGCAGTAAACACGTTTGAATGCTAATTAGGTAAGCTAGATAGGGCGTAATTTCGTAACCTACCAGCATGACAGGATTAATAATATATACAATCACTTAAAACCAGTTATTAATGTTCTTAAGATGCAGTTTAAATACTTGGAATGTTTGAAATGTCCTTAAGATGTGATTAATTTAAATGTTCTTGCAATGTTCACTGTGCAGCTTAATACCGCTTTCTGCATTCTAAGTAATACATCTTTGTATCTTGCTCCAAAGATATTCTTCATCTCAGGCTCCATCTCTTTAGACCATCCTCCAAGAGCGTCCAAAATGAGGTTCACTTGCAAGATCGTGTATCCTGGGTGTTGTTTTGTGAGCTCAAGTCTAAGTGCTCCATACTTATTATTATTATTATTATTATTATTATTATCATTATCATTATTATAATATACCTAAATACAAACACTTCTTCGTACTGCTACCTACACATTCCTATGCAAGCCATTGTGATGACTGCTAACGAGATCTTGCTATAGACTGTCTTTCTGATTGCGATACATACTGAACTGGATGAGGAATATCGGTTTCCATTTCCTCTTCCCTGACGACTATTTTTTTGAAAATTTTTGAAACTTTTTTGAAAGGAACCAGTAAGCAGCATTTAGGATGCTAAGTTGTAAAACTTTTTATTTTATAGCTCCTACACGTTTCATCTAACTTTGTAGACTTCTTCAGGAAGTTTTACAATAAAAGTTTAAAGTCCTTTATTTAAAGATTATCCTTATCTACGTATAGGAAGTAGGGCATGTAAAGGAAACACGTATRCAGGACTCTAACAAGGGAGGAACATAGTTTATGGATGTTGAATAATTTTTGAATAATTTTGGGGGCGAAGTTATAGCTATAACGTGTTTCCTTTACATGATAATGATGATGATGACAATAGTGATGAAATTGAAGATGATGATGATGATCAAGATTACAATGTTATTTAAATAGTGGTGTACAATTAATTATCCTGTTCATTAAATTCCTTGTTGAGTTTTATATGTTAGTTAATAGTCATTTGTTGTTGACAGAAAAATGAGTATCCCCCCTACCATTACAAAAATTATTTAACATCCCCTTTTGAACAACTGAAAAATTTTATGACCCCCCCCCCCCTGCGGGATACATAATGAACGCAGCCTAAGTGCAAAAGAAGATATTGAAGTTATCCCTATCGTGAACATCTCCTATGATTGAATTAGAACAACTACCACACCATGCAATTGAAACTACAAAGATCAGCTGGTTTATCCACTTTTTTCATATTTTAATATTTGAAAAACAAACCCCTCCCCCTCTGGAAATTCCAGTGCAAGATGCTCTCCCTCTCCTTTGGAATTCTTGATCTAAAGCCCCCAGTCTCCTTTGGATTTCTGAAGTAGGGGTGTGAATATTTTTTGAACTAACCATTCTGAGTTTAATTTTGTCTAGTTCACGATATGAAAATCTAGCTATATTTGTAACTAACCTTTGTTCTGGAACTGTTTGACAGTGACAGGTGCTAGGTTGACACCAAGTCTCCTATAAAAACAATTACACCATCATGCTTTATAAGTTATTGAGCAGAGAATAATTTAAATTCATAATGATAATAATTGCTGTGAGCAAAGCATAGCAAGCACAGGTAGAATTCCCAATTTTGAAAGTTGTGTATTTCGCGACATTGCAGGAATCACCTTATAAGTTCTTAGCACAATGGTTATTTATCTGTTCAAGAAAGCAATTCAAGCCATGTCTTTTTCACAAGCTAATCATGCCAAAATTAAAAATTAAATTCCTTCATTGTTGGAAGTATTTGCCTTGGTCACAAAGAATTTACAGGACTTTTACAGTGAAAACAATATCATTTAATGAGCCTTTTCAAAGATTTTGTATCCTCAAAGTTTTGACTGATTTGTTGAGTGCCAGGTCGAATATATATGTATATATATCAAAAGTATATCAAAAATTATGGGATATAATCCCTGATATTTTTTTAGTTTTCTATCACTATAGGGCTTTCTAAAATATATCAGGGAGGATATCCCATATTTTTTCATATACTTGTGAAAAAGAGTCAAAGTTTATGCATATCACAGTATATATA